GCAAAGTACATAATGGTTTCAGGCGCAAACACCGAATCTAGGTAAGTAAGAAGCGGTAAGCACGTGCCAGCAATGATGTGAACTTGGAATGGGGAGTGACAAATGATCCCGCTGGCGACACAGCTCCGCAATTCCTCCATCCTTCCTCCCTTCCTCTCCTACTTCTCTTTATTTCTTGCTCGTTTCACTTTCTTTCTATATTTTCTTTCTCTCTTTTCTTTTCCTCTTTTCCGAACTCTGAGGAACGAGATCAAAGTGACACGGATGCGTCATGGAAGATCGGGTCGACAGTAAGGGTAAGCCGATGCTTTCCAGTGGTGGCTCTCTCCAAGCGAGCTCGAACAGCATCGCTCTCCCAACCACTCAAGTAAGCGAACGAGGCTGCTTGAAACAGACAATAACTGTAACCTTCACCCCTGTGGTTGTCTGAAAACAGAGTGAATGAATCCGTTATTCCGCCAGCCAAACAAGTCAAACAGTGGGTCTAGACATGGTGCATCGGCCGGGAACCTAACACGTATCACCATTCACTGACGGTTTTCTTCCCAGTTCCTGACTTGTCACTGGCTTGAGTGGGGAAATGTGGCGCTGTTGTCGACGGGGGGGGGCATTTTGTATTATCATTGCTTCCCTAGTTCCGGTTTACAAATCTCACTCTGGTAAAACTTGTGAACTCTTGTGAAGCTGAAGTAAGATCGTCTAGCCACTATCCCAAACGTGTCAAACGGCCGCCTAGAAGGGTCGACACATCTATGGGAGACACATCTATGGGAAGCAAAATGCCCCCCCCCGTCGACAAACTGCACCGGGAAATGTTTCCTTTTACATGTGTTATATTATTATCTCGCTATTTTAGGTCAGTTTGCAGAGTGCAATTTTTCGGCCTCGCACAAAAGGCATAGTAAATGCACTTGCAGTAGTTGTGCCTAGTTGACTTGAAAGTTAGCATTTATTTTGCAGAAGGAAGTAGTCTCACCTGAAATCACGGCCTATAAAAATGCCTAGGGAAGGCATCCTGACAGTTCCGTTCGAGCGCCCACAGCTTCAAACAACTACAGTACAACTGCAAGTCAATCTGATAGAGTCAAAGTATCTCAGTCGCGAATAGTGTCGCGAATTGCGACACTATGACACAGCTTGCAGATCGTCCTGTAGCCGATTGATACGCATCCCTTCTTCGAATCTCAGAATTTTTTGACATAAACGCTAGCATTGATTTTATCGCGTACATTTTTGACACGAGCACGAACTATGCACACAATACATGTAATATATAGTGTAGTTCGCTGCGGACGGCTTGGGCGTGTCAGGCGGGATGAGTTTGGCGCGGTGCCAAACCCGTTCTCCACCAGTTGTTAAAGCGAGCAAGTGATGCCAAGTTTGTTAATGTTCTCGTTATTTTTCTTTTCTTGTGTCGATTTGTTTTGTAACTTATCTGTTTCGCTCATAATGTAGCGCACCCGTGTGTGCATGATAAATAAATAAATAAATAAATAAATAAATAAATAAATAAATAAATAAATAAATAAATAAATAAATAAATAAATATGATTTATCATACCGTTCGTATTACTCCTTTTCTACCACTTTTTATCACATGCGAAGAATACAAAGAGCTCTGAATTTATCGTATCCAAGGGGTGACTTAGGTAAGATTATTTTATCGAACAACGCACTGTCTTGAATCTGATCACACGGCCACGACTAATCGTTCAGAATCTTTCACCACAAGTCAAAGAATATGACCAAACCTGAGTTACTATTTCGAAAACGAATTTTGATGAACATTGGGAGGAGAAGCAAGGAGCAGCTCGCTCGGATCACAATTCGCAACTTAGTAGGTTTACACTACGAGTTACATCTCATCGAGTTTGAATGTCAAGAACAATCTCTCCTTCAGCTAGAAGGTCAATAAGCCCAGGAAACTTGACGTATATGAGATATGTAGGCTATACAGCAGTAAATAAAATAAATAGCTAAAAATGGCAGCACAACTTATCCCACAGCTCTGACAAAAGGGAAAAAGCAGAAAGTCTCGAAGATCACAGCAGATTCCAATTTGAGGCCAACTTTCATTCGAACAATGAGACACTTCAATTAACCAAACGATCAGCTTTGAAATAGCTCATGTGAAGAAAAAAATGAGCAGCGCCAGAGAAACTGCTCAAAAAATACTTAGAAAATGCTTAAAAAAAGCGCTGCCCAAGTTGAATAGTACAGGGTGTTTAGTCAAATCAAACGGCACTTTTTTCGCAATCGTGAGGGTATCTTCCATTAGTAACAATAATAGAGACAGACGAAACGTATCCTGAAGGAGGTTCACGATTGAAAGAGAAGAAAGTTGAGTGATTACGAGCTTAACTTTCAAAATTTCCGCTAAGTTGGTAGACTTAGACTTTGATGTCCTTTTCAAAAGATCTTCAACGATTGGGCGCACCAGAGGTCACCGATATAAGCTCATAAAAAATAAAATATAGTCAACAGAGTACCGCAATTCTTTTACTCAACGGATTATCAGTTTTTGGAATATACGAACAGCACTTATAAATTCCGACGTTCTCCTAAGTCGTTTAGGAGCAAAGTGAGAAAAGATATGATTTCACAAGGGTGGTTCTGAGAACAGAAACTAAATTATTACACTTTGAAAGGCTGAGTGGCGATTAAGTGATTTTTGTATTCCTAGCTGTGTGTTAAGTCGCCTTAGATTGAATGTGTGTTTGTGTTGCGATCAAGATGTATATTTCTTACCCTGTTGCACACCATTGCTAATGGTTGGAGCTGGGTCTCAGTAAAGTTGGCGGACCCAGTGAGCTGGTATCCGGAGTCCTATTTGATGCGTGGATGGACTTGCAGTGTTGGCGGCCACTGCCCTTCTGCCTTGATTACCCGCTCTACACCCGCAGCAGGCAGCTTTATTCTGTCTCGCATCAAATAAATCAAAAAAACTCTTGTTGAAGGCGCGGTAAAGCACTTCGATGCTTCTCTGGGTTTCTCCTCGCTTGCTCTAACCTGGAAAACAATTTTTCTCATACCTAGATTTATGGCGCTAGATAATCTATGATTATGGTATTGCGCAATTCTGCTGCTTCTATTTCTAGCACATGCTTCTTCAGTGGCAGTCCGATCTGTGAACAGAAAGCAACATTCCCGAACTCCATTCAGCAGAATTGGTTGCCACGTCACAGTCCGGTCAACTTTCAGCCGCGCAACGCACCATTTTCGTCAACGAGGGAATTGCACTGTTGCGTGTACTTTTTTGAGATCAATCAAGACCTCTCACAATCTTTTGACGCATTCTACGCCTTTTAGTCACCCTCCCACTCATACGTAGTTCTTCACTTTCTTTTCCCAATATTAAATACAATTTGATTCATCTTTTTTTGTGGAGCTCTTTTCTTTTCACTGCCGGTACTACAACACATACAATTTCAGCACGAATTCAGGCGACACTACGTACAACAAAGCAAAAAATAAAAAACAGATGACTACGCAGAGCCCCAGTCAATGGACGAATCGCCCACGAACTCGGAACAATTCCATGTCTACTGGGCGGGCGGTTGTCGTGGGCGTCTTGCACCTTCATAAGGCGCTATAAAGGCGCTATCAACTGAAGAAGATACTACGCAACTCCTGCTGAGGTTTTCTAGGTAAGCGCCTTTTACACTTCTTGTTTCACTTGCCCCTCAATAACTTTATTAAGCAATAAATATGACAAAATCTAGCTAAGGTAATGGTAAAGAGAATATGCGTCCAACTGAGAAGATCATAACTATAGTACTTTTACATTCCCAATATCTCGTCATGGCTGCAGAGAGAAGGGAGAGTGAGCTGCTCGCGACTCGCCGTCGCCCTCCCCCCCCCCTTGACCACCGCAATGCCCAACTTTCATTTCTAAAGGCTTCCAAGTGTGGCAGTTGTTACTCTATTTCGAACGGTGAGAGTTCAGAGATAAGGAGAGTAGCTGACATCATTGAGTGAAGAACTCCTCCACGTCACGACCTCTTTCAGCCTTAATAAATTGCGAGGCGACGTTCAGGCACAGCACTTTTTTCCATATGGGCATATTAGGCACCTTTTTTGCTTTCTTCTCCCCTTTTGTGTTATTTTTGTTAACCCTTGTAAGGCTGTAATCAAGCGCAACCTGGAGCACAAACTAGAGCACAATCGTGGTAGAGAAGCTTTATTAGACGTGTAATCTCTTGGAGGCTCACCTAATGGTATGGTATGACTATTACAAAATAGTAATACTATTGCGAATTAATTACTATTATCTATAGGGACGAAATTGCAGGAGTTTACAGGTCTCACAAGGTAGGCTGCTCAAGCTTCACTCACCTTTACTTCTCAAACTCATTTACGCCTGCCGTTGCTGAAAGAAATTCAAATACAACACCATAGAGGCAGCTGGAAAAATCTCCGACAAGCAAAATGACGCAGTTCTTTTGATTGTTTTGCCACAGTCCCTCCCTCAACTTGAAACTCAATTTATTCCCTCGGGTTGAGATTGCCTGAAAAAGCTATTTTGAAGAAATGTACAAAAATCGTTGAAACAAGGTTTTTGATTTGTTATTTCTTCACGGAGAGACGGCCCCGACAGCCGTCAGATCTGCCGGAAGCGCCTAACTTCTATGCCTCCGAAAAAAATTGCAGGCTGATTCGCTGACATAGTTAAACATTTAGGATCTCCGAAACTTTCAGTTCAAAGAGCTCCCTACTGGATGGACTTTGTCTTAGCCAAATTTTGTGTTTTTTTTCTGTCTGAGATCATATTGTTGTTCTTTTAATTTAGCGATTGTATAGACGCATTATACAGTGCGCACCCTTGCGTGCATGATTAATAACTGGTTTAATTTATAATAATTGATTAATATGAATTAATTTAATAAATAATCGATGTAAATCAATTTAGATCAAATGATTAAATAGGTTTGTTGTCGGAACATAATTTTATGGGCTGAATTGTATTTATATGTTGAATTCTAGTCCGACATTTCAGAGTGATGGAAGACAAGGAGATCCAGCTCAGTCCTCTATTTGTGTCCGTTTTCGGAAAAATCTTCTTTGCATACTGGTTAATCACGGTGCCCTTCTACATTATGCTAGTAGTCTTCATGATTCATGCTCAAGTTAAGAAGGCCCCCAACTTAACGAGTTCGTTCTATACGTTGTGCATAACGACAGGAATCATCGATATTGGTAAGGGAAGAGCAGTGGGCCGTGAGCCCTTTCAGTAAGACCCACTTTCCCATTTTACAGACACGAAACATCACAAGTGTTGTTTCAGTAACCCTTCTCAACAATTATTTTGGAGCAGTATTACCGCGATGGGGATGGATTGCAAGTGTTAGTCCTAGTCCGTTGGCCTGCCGATATCGCCATACGCGTACCGTTTACCTCATCATAGCTTGGTCCACTGGTAGGCTCTCTGAGTAATATTTCACGATAGCTCTTTGCTGAATTCAGTTATTAAATTTAGCTCAAATTTCAAGGTACTATGCAAGCAACATCGACGTCATTATTGGCTCTCAATCGTCTCTCAGCGGTTCTCTTTCCTTATCGATATGATCAGGTGAGTATCTTAGCACTGAAATAAGTAACTAAGTCAACGCTTAGTTGCGTAAAGGAACGGTCCGTGATCAGGTACAGAATTTGAAAATATGGCGTCGGGAGGGTAAGGCAACAACTTTGTAGGTCTCGCGGCACAAAATTGTAAGGGAGGGGGCTATAGCGCAATACAGGCATGGTGACGCCTTCTTTTCTCCAGCGTCTCTTCCGGACTCCTCCTTCAAGTCCCGCCTTATAGTTAAAAAGCCGTAGGACGAAAAAGCTTGAAAATAGCCACTTGTACGATCGTAGAGTTTTTATCGCGGGACCAGCTAGGCGGATGAGGGTGTAGTGTAGGAGGTTTGCTTAACTGGGTACGTACAAACCGGGATCGAAATGAGGCTCTCTTTGGGCACTGGCATATTTTTTCTTCACTGTCGACTTAATCAGAACCTTGTCTATGTGCACACTCATAATCCAC